CCTAACATCCAGATTGAAACTGAGTCCTAGTGACGACTGGCAACAACTTGACAACTGGTGCAGATTGCAGGCGAACTGCCAACAGATTGCACACGTGCACACCACCTCGTCACGAGACACACAACACACTTATTCATCATGTATGTGTGTGTGCAATAAAGCTAGCAAGAGAGAAAGAGAAAACCTCTACAGTCACCCTTGCATCATGCTCCTCAACAGCGCAAGTGCATGGAAAAGAAATACGTTAGTACAATCAAAGCTGATAATATCGGAAATACTTGACAGTGAGGCATGTAGGTAGGTGGATCTTCTTCGTCCCCAGTTGTTGGATCCCTTCCCCGCCCGTCCCAGATGTTTAGCCTGGCATAGATCACATTCGCCCCTGACTGTTGACTTCGCGGGGGGTTGAAAAAACAAAGGGAAAAATGCATTTGCCGGACCCACTTTCGCCCCCAATTGTTGGATCACTTTTGCCCCCAGCTTGAAACTCTGAGACTTGTGTACCTCACTTTGGCCCCAGCGTGAAATAGGGGGGGGTTGTGGGGTGGGGGGGAAGTTCCTTACACATTGAATTTGGCTTTCAAGAGCGCCAAGTTGCTCCAAGTGGAACTATGTTTGGGGGCAATTGCGATCCAAGATTTGGGGGGCAAAAGCAAACCCGCATCCGCTGACAGTGAAGCATGTACAGCGTTCAACTGAACCCATGGTCCGTATTCTTTCACCCTTGACAGTTTCCCGCATGCAAAATCAAATATGGCATGCATTGCAGAACTGCTGCACCATCTGAGGCTCGCTTTTCTCCACAGCTGCGCTCCTCAAGTCACCTCGTGGCGCGTTGGGCCAAGATAGGGAGAGACAGCAAACCACCGGGGCCAAGTGGGTGTTTTTTTTTTGGTGGAGCCCCAAAATGGTGGTTTTCCTTTTGGTTTCCCTTTCAATCCAACCAAAAAGGGTACCCTCAAAAAAGACAGACCCAAATGTAGCAAGTGCTTCCAGGCCAATCGGTCAGGGCCGAACCAGCCACTTGTACAGGCAAGTCTAAGTGGAACTATCAGAGGCCGCTGGTCAAGCAGCTCGGATTGTAAAATACCGTGTGAACGTTGATACTCTGGAGCTCTTGAATATCTTCAAATGCTTTCAACAAGTTCAGAAGTGTCCACAACGTGCTTACCTGTTGAAAGCAGTGCACTACAAGCAAACAGTCAGAAGCTATTGCAGAAAATTACCTCTGCTCTTTGCCGGTTGCTTGATATTGCGCGTGCCCTTGGAATGGCGTGCGCCTGTGATGTGGGCAATCAGCAACACCCTTTCGCGTGCACCACTGTCCATGCTCCGTTTGATGAAGCTACAAAGTCCTACCTTCCGTGCAAATCGCCATGTCGTGTTCTACTACCTGCAACCCAAAGGTTGACAGCGGCTCATGTGAAGCATTCGACATAGCTTGACGACCTTTGAACACCCGGCTCTCAGGGATCGTATGGATCGTCTGCCCTGAGTTCGAAGGCAAGGCACCAGCATCGGGATGCCAAAGGTCCAGCAGCAGCACAACCCGCGCCTCCGAAAGGGGCACCTGGCGCGACGGCACTAAAAAATGAGCGGCTAACAACCTGGGGACGGGCTCTGGCTGCCTCCCATCCGGCAAGAAGGTGCACACATATTGAAACTTGCCCAGCCCTTCAAAGTTGTCAAAATCCGTGGTTAGGCCCTGCCTCCCCTGCCTCCAGCTGTGGCAACCTTAGGAAATCAGGAGATGCCATCGAGATCCGGAGCATTTGAAGACACTGCCATGGTCAACCAATGGAGGCACTTCAACCCCCGCGCCTAAGGACTCGGCTGCACTCGGTGCTCAAAGCTATCATCGAAAATGAGGCACCTTACGCGAGCGGACGCATGCGCTCCGCTTTGCTGGGGCGAGTGTGCATTCAAAAACATCCTCCGAGCCAAGGCTTTGGTCCCGAACCGCAGCCTCAAACCCTCGTAGTCTGTCTCAAACTAGGGAACCCCATGGATCTGAAAGGGAGACCAACAGAGCACCCTCCAGTTTCTGCGGGTGCTAAAAAAAAGAAAACGCAGATGTCCCCGCCAAATCCGGAGCTCTCCTCAGCTCGCCTGTGGAGCTGCCAGCGGCAATCCTCGGACGCCACCGTCAAACCCGCGCAGCTCCTCGCGTTGCCCGGCAGCAGTAGCGGCAAATGCAGCCTGCGCGTGTCGCGGAAGGAAGGGTTCCCCAAAAAAAACTTGGACAACTGGAAATTCGGGGGGTCCCCATGGCCTCCCCAAGTAGACTGCCCATCTTTCGTCTCACACGAGAATCCTTGCCTGATGTTTTTGTCAAGCATCAGTCAAATGCTTTCCTGACCGGAAGCTTTAATTCATTGATTCGTGCAATGGCTAGCACTCATCAGCCGGGTAGCTCTACTGTTAAAAGACAGCAATTGCATGCTGAGTTTTATAGAAGGATGTCTCAAGCGTTTTTCCCCGGTTTTGCTTATGAGGGTGTTGTGGTTCCAGGACATTGTTCGAGATTCTCATTTGTGTTCCATTTGTTCGAGCTGTTTTTTGTTTCTTCTGGCTTTGTTTACGACCCAGAAAAAAAAGAAGAAGAAAAAGGTCTACGCAAAAGCCCAACGCTCACAGACACTCCGAGTCATGCAACAATGACATGCTACTAGTAACATTCAGCATGCTGTACAACACACGCATGTTGCTCAACCACAATGACGTGCACGGTGGAGACAGAGAGGGGCCCGTGGCTGGCCATTCTTGCCGTTGCTTCCAAATAACAAAAATAACGCCCGTCTGCAAAACAACACGGAAGAAAAGAAGAGGAAGGAAACAAAGATTCTGGCACAATATTCAGAAACCATGTTCAGGATGACCCTGACCCCAACATGATCCTAGCAAAATGGTTTTTTTGCGTTGTTTTGTTCGATTTCTCGAGGGATGTTTATTGATGTCTCCCCTTTTTTTTGATTCTGAAGTGCTTCTGGAACAATGTCCTAGAACCCCAATGCCCTCACAAGCAAAGCTGAAAACAGAACCTTGGGACATTGAGAAAAACAGTTTCTGGCCCCGCATTCTGGAACCATGTTCAGGGTGAACCAGCACCCAACATGCTCCTGGCAAAGTTGTGTTTTGTTGCTTTGTTTGTTTGTGGTTTGGCACATTTCTATAATCAAAGGAAGTTTAGTTGCTTAACTTCCGTCATACGAAAAGTTGAATCCGAAAGAGCTGAGCATGCGAATAGATAAGAAAGTAGAGCAAATGAATAGAAATAGCCAGCAAAAGCGATGGCCGCGAGATTGAAGGCTAGCTCACAAGGGCGGTCGGTCTCGGGGCACAATCGGAGAGAAACGCATTGGAATAGCAAGATCAAGCGCGTCGCAAACCTCAAAACGGTGAACCCTCTGCGGACTTTCTGCAGGTGCGCGATCGGTTTCGAAATGTTCTCCATCGGAGTGCGCGTTTTCATGGTTTTCGCAGGAAACGCATTGGAATGGCGCGACCAGCGCTTGGCCAACATGCACTGCTTGCATTGGAACGGCACGCTCAGCGAAGGACCCATCTATGATCGCCAAACGGGAAACGCATTGGAATGACATGTTTCAAAGGCGGCCAAAATGTACTTGTTGCGCAGGAAACGCATTGGAATGGCAAGACTATTGCTCGCCAGATAGAAAAAAAGTTGGAGATAGCAAGGTTGACAAGTTCGCAGCTCGGGATTGATTGCAACTTTTAAGTATGAAATCGCAACTTTTAAGTACGAAACGAGTACGCGCAGTCCACGTTCGCAGCTGGGGCTCGAAAACCCGTACTTTTGAGTACGAAAGTAGCACGCGAAGTCCGCTTTCGCAGCTGGACCTCTAAAATCGCAACTTTAAGGTAGGAAATCGCAACTTGTAGGTACGAAACGAGTACGCGCAGTCCACGTTCGCAGCTGGAGCTCGAAAATCTTTGGCTATTTGGCTATTTGGCTACTTGGCTAGTTGGCTTGGTCCTATCCACGTAGGGGCTTTGGCAAGTTGCTGTCAGGGGGCTTCAGGGTATCACAGGGTACCACAGGGTCACAGGGTCTCACAGGGTATCATCGTGTAGCCAAGTCGGTGCTTGCGCAGCTGACCGAGCGGCCAACTTTTGCTGCAGCCTTCTGGCTCGAGCCTTTCTGGTTCATTTCACAACCAACTCACACGCACGCACCGACTTCAAAGCCCAAGTAGCACAGCTGGGCAAGTTGTTGTCATTGACTTATTCCCAGTTGTTATTTCTGCCACGCACACCAGGAGTCATGCAGCCCTATGGGCAAGCCCTATGGGCAAAGCCCCGCATACATTTAAAATCATGTAGCCTAATTGCCAAAGCATAACTGTAGTTTCCTCTTCCATTCAAGCACATGTCTGTTCCAGGCCCAGGTTTTCGACTTCATTGTGATGTCAGACAGTTTGGTTCCCGGCATTTTAGTGGGAAATACCACAGTAGTCCGAAAACGTTGCTCGCCAGTTCAGGCGGCCCGTTGCGCCATGGCAAACCCGGAGTGGTACGATGCATTGATGCATTACCTGGAAGAGCACACTGAGGACTTAAAAGCACTTGGGCGCAAGGATGCGCAGACTTGCTTGTCCACGGGCAAGAGACTCAAAGACAGCGAGCGAACCAGGCAGCGGCAAGTGAACGCGGACCGCGAGCCTAAGAAAACAAGATCGGCAGAGTTTGTCGCGCTTACGCCGAGAGCGCGCACTAAGAGACTGAAGGAGGAGCTTGCTTCTCCCAGCAATGTGGCGCCACCCCGGTGACTTGACGTGCATCGCCAAACTCACGGACACGTCGGTTCAGACCGTTCGTGGCCTTGCGGCATTGCAGATGGCCCGGCGCAGGCAACAGAAGAAAGAAGCGCAAGCGGGCACTCGGGGGGATGGGCTGCGTTTTTGTGGCGTTGTGAGTTGCCCTTTCCTATAGGATCTAATTGTTTTGGGAAACTTCCGCCCCCAGCTCCGCTGGCCCTAGTATGAATGACATGTTCTTAGCACATGCCTGACGTGTGCAGTATACATGATTATTTGTTTCAAGCAGGTGCGTAGTGGGTTGTCGTAAACCAATGTCTAGCAAATAATTGTTACATGTCTGTTCTAGTTTGGGCTCCGCACGTCTTGAAATTCCGCCTGGGGGGGTCCTTTTGTTTTTGTTTGTTGACATTCACGCATCGTGTTTTGTTTATTGAAGTCACGCCTCGGGGGTCCAGGTGCGTCTTTTCTTGACATCGCGCCTAGGGGGTTCCTAGTTGAAATCACGCCTCGGGGGTCCCGGTGTTGTTTGTTGTGTTTTAATTACGCCTGGGCGCGCCCGGTGCTTGTTTTTGTTGCTGTGGGCCAGGGCGGTTTCTCCTTTCAATTCATGCCTTGGGGCTCCGTTTTTCTAATTCACGCCTGGGGACCCCGGTGTTTCTCTTTGGATTGGAAATCACGCCTGGGGGTCCTGGTGTTTTCTTTTTTACATCATGCTTGGGCATGATTTCAAGAAAACACCGGGACCGAGGCGTTACTTTCTTTGCAGCCACCAGTCGCGCACTCACTTGCTTGCGCGCTGGAAAAAACACCCAAATACTGGGGCTTCAAAATAAACACTGCTGGTGGAAATTCAAGAAGAAAAACTAGACGACGGGTGGCCCGGAAGCAAAGAAACACGTTATATTCTGACGCCTCCCCCACCTCATGAGAAACAAAGCGTAAACACGCCAATGTCCCTGCTCAAACCTAGCTTCTGCAAGCTCTGATGAGCAAGCTTTGCATATGCTTCGCATTCTCTCGTGTCCGTTTCTGTTGCGCGCAAGGTTGTGAATTGGTGCTGTGCGCGAAGCTGTGCGTGATGCTGCGCATGATGTTGCAAATGATGCTGCGCGTGACGCTGTGCGTGATGTTGCCCATGATGCTCTACAACACCTCTTGTCCACTCCTTGCGCCCGTTTCTCTTGTCAACCTTTCTTGTCTAAATCAGTGCGCAGTTTGGCTGCGCAAGAAGGCTGGCTGTCTTAGCTACTGAAGGTGCGATTGTGCAGCGGGAGCTGCGGGAGTGCACTTCGTGTACTACTGTTGCACTCAAAAGTTTCGATTTTGCAGCTAGGACTGCAGGAGTGTTCTTCGCACACTACTCTTGCACACAAAACATGCTATGCTTTGGCCAGAGGCACGGGAATGTACTTTGCGCGCTGCTGTTGTACTAAAAAATGCAATCCTGAGCTGCAACGCTCTTCGGGCGCTGTACTTGAAACTTGCGATTTCATGCGGAACTGCGGGAACGCACTTTGCGTAGTACTTTTGTACTCCAAAGTTTCCATTTTCCAGCCAGAGCTGCGGGAGCACAATTTCCGTACTGTACTTTAGTACTTGAGAATTGCTATTCTTGAGCTGGAGCTGGCGCTGACCAGGGGGGAATCGAACCACAAATTTCAAAGACCGTTCGCGAGCAGCAAAAGCAAGAAAATTCGCACGGCGCCACAGCCAGAGCGATTCGACGCGCGCGATCTCCGACCAAAACACATTCGCGCAGCACCACAGCGAGAGCGCTTCGACACGCACGATCTCCGCAGAGGGTTTGCCGAGACCAAGACAAATTCGTACGGCGCCACAGCGAGAGCGCCTCGACACGCACGATCTCTGCAAAAGGTTCGCCGCGACCAAGACACATTTGCACGGCACCACAGCGAGAGCGCTTCGACACGCACGATCTCTGCAGAGGGCTCGCCAAATTCGCACGGCGCCACAGTGAGAGCGCTTCGACACGCACGATCTCCGCAGACGGGTACGTTTCGTAAGCTCACGTTGGGCCTACCCCCGCCAGAAAAAGAAGAAGAATTAAGAGTCGAGAAGCGAAGGCACAAAAGAAAAGTTAGTTTTTGTTTTTTGGATAGTGAAGTAACACCCGAAAAGTTAGCTTGTGCTTTTAGGATAACGAGATAACACCCGAAAAGTTGTCGTGAGAAGTTGGCAGGTGAAGTAACTATCGAAAAGTTGGTATGAGAAGCTAGCAGGTGAAATAACTCTCAAAAAGTTGGCATGAGAAGTTGGCAGGTGAAGTAACTCTCGAAAAGTTGACATGAGAAGTTGGCAGGTGAAGTAACTCTCGACAAGTTGGCATGAGAAGTTGGCAGGTGAAGTTTGCAGCCGCTTTTGGAAGAAGAACCCTTCGCAATGCTTCCGGGAAAAAGAAGAAGAAGCAAAAGACGGTAGAGCATGCATTGACCATATGTCCAGCTATTCCAATCAAATGACTGGACTCTCCAGTATATCTGCATTGCATAATTCCAGCATCTTTATAGCATGCTTTGGGCATGTGTCTGACATATCCCAAGTATACGTCCAGCATAGCTCTGTCGGTTCCGAATACGTCTAGTTTGCATAGAGCATGTGCCCAACACATATCTAGCAAGTTCCCAGACAAAAACTAATAATATAGCGTAATCAGTATGCTATGAACAGAAAGGTATGTATTGAGTTGTGGCTCTCCTGACCCAACCACGTTTGCCTCCTTGCTATTTCTGGCTTCTGATCTTCTGAGACTCAAACCGACAATAGTACCTCAATAAATCCAAAATACACCAGCATAGACCCCAAATAGCAGTGCTTGCACACCAGCACCTCCAAAAGCACCCCCGCGAAGAACGCCCCAAGCAAAACCCGGCCGTCAATCGAGCAAAAATGCGCCCGCACCATCACCCTGAAGAGCACCCCCAAACAGAATCCCAAACCACCACCTAAGCTGCATGCCCCCTTGCACCCTACCGTCGAGATGCAAACATGCGCCTGCACCGTCACCTGCATGCCCGAACACCTCAACCAGCTCCCCACAAACTGTGTCCCACAGCACCACCAGCAGCACCCCAAACTGCATTCCCCCCTGCGTGCACCAAAACACCACCTGCACAAGCAGCCCAAACTGCATGCCCCCTAGCACCCTACCGTCAATCTTGAAAAAATGCGCCCGCACTGCCATCAGCACCTCAAACAGCACCCCACTCAGCACCCCAATCAGCACCTAGACCAGCACCCCAAACCGCACGCCCCGTAGCGGCCATCAATCTCGCAAATCACTTTCCCCTCTTTATTAGAAGTTAGAACCCCTATAGCTTTCAGCTATCTGGGGAAATATGCGCCCACCCCGTCCTCAGCACCTGCACCAGCACCCCAAACTGCAGCTGGTGCAGGCAGTTTGGGGTGCTGGTGCAGGTGCTGAGGACGGTGTGGGCGCATATTTGCAAGATTCAGGGCAGGGTGCTAGGGTGCATGCAGTTTGGGGTCCTGAGGACGGTGCGGCGCATATTTGCAAGATTCAGGGCAGGGTGCTAGGGTGCATGCAGTTTGGGGTGCTGGTGCAGGCAGTTTGGGGTGCTGGTGCAGGTGCTGAGGACGGTGTGGGCGCATATTTGCAAGATTCAGGGCAGGGTGCTAGGGTGCATGCAGTTTGGGGTCCTGAGGACGGTGCGGCGCATATTTGCAAGATTCAGGGCAGGGTGCTAGGGTGCATGCAGTTTGGGTGCTGAGGACGGTGTGGGCGCATATTTGCAAGATTCAGGGCAGGGTGCTAGGGTGCATGCAGTTTAGGGTGCTGGTGCAGGTGCTGAGGACGGGGCGGGCGCATATTTGCAAAATTCAGGGCAGGGTGCTAGGGTGCATGCAGTTTGGGGTGCTGGTGCAGGTGCTGAGGACGGTGCGGGCGCATATTTGCAAGATTCAGGGCCAGGCTGCTAGGGTGCATGCAGTTTGGGGTGCTGGTGCAGGTGCTGAAAGACGGGGTGGGCGCATATTGGCAATACCGAGCTCAGGGTGCTAGGGTGCATGCAGTTTGGGGTGCTGGTGCAGGTGCTGAGGACGGGGTGGGCGCATATTTGCAAGACTGCTAGGGTGCATGCAGTTTGGGGTGCTGGTGCAGGCAGTTTAGGGTGCATGCAGTTTGGGGTGCTGGTGCAGGTGCTGAGGACGGGGTGGGCGCATATTGGCAATACCGAGGGCAGGGTGAGGACGGGGCGGGCGCATATTTGCAAGACTGCTAGGGTGCATGCCCTGAATCTTGCAAATATGCGCCCGCGCCGTCCTCAGCACCTGCACCAGCACCCCAAACTGCATGCACCCTAGCACCCTGCCCTGAATCTTGCAAATATGCGCCCACACCCTCCTCAGCACCTGCACCAGCACCCCAAACTGCCTGCACCAGCACCCCAAACTGCATGCACCCTAGCACCCTGCCCTGAATCTTGCAAATATGCGCCCGCACCGTCCTCAGCACCTGCACCAGCACCCCAAACTGCATGCACCCTAGCACCCTGCCCTGAATCTTGCAAATATGCGCCCACACCCTCCTCAGCACCTGCACCAGCACCCCAAACTGCATGCCCCCTAGCACCCTGCCCTCAATTTCGCAAATCACTTTCCCCTCTTTATTAGAAGTTAGAACCCCTATAGCTTTCAGCTATCTGGGGAAAAACTAAAAGGAAGAAAAAAAACGATCGAACAAACAAAATGCTTGTATCTTACTCACTCACGAGTCTGAAACCGAAAAACCTCAAGAAATTGAGCACAGAAAAAAGGGAAATGTTTTGTTCTTGCTCACGTACAAGTCTGAAACCGAAGAACAAGTCGATAAATCAGGGGGAAATATGGAAATGGTTGGGTCTTGCTCACTTACAAGCCTGAAACCGAAGAAAAACTCAAGAAATCTGGAAAACTACTTCTAATGGAGATGATGGGTATGCCAAGAATGGGTCGTGTCGTGTTTTTTTGCTTTGTTTCCCATTTCTAGATGTTGTTTCTCGATGTTCGACTTACCCTTGCTGGAATTCGTGTCCAAATTCGATTTACCCTTGCTGGAATTCGTGTCCAAATTCGACTTAGATGCAAACTTGATTCGAATTTTAATGAACTTAATCGGCAAACACCCATCAACTCCCCGTGCAGTACGAAATCTTGCAATTCAACTTCCCGGAGCCTTCCAATTCAACTAGAATGTCTATCTTAATCTAAAGCTTCAATAGCAATTCCTGTACTGGTCCATTAAAGTGTAACTAGATGTTGAATGGAATCTAATACAGAAACAAAGTAATATTTAGCTCAATTGGCCTGGCCCTTAGAAAGAGTAAAACAAGCAAACAACTCGATACAAATGCAATGTCAGTCATATTAATTTATGATGACAGAGATCTTCAGATTGTATTTTTCCTTACAAAAGTATATGTAAATGCTAATTGAGTTAAATCAAAGTTATGTGCAAGAGTTCCTAGTTAAATCCTAGGTTGGGCTAGAAATGCCAACTGATACAGTTCCTTATTAAATTCAAAAAACTCCATGTCACTAGAGCTATATTGCTATAAAACGACCTGTTTCTATGTTTGCAAACTGAGGTGATTTACACAGAAAGATACACCACTCACAGCGTTGTCAATAGAAAAATGCACACACGTCTAGTATACTTCAAGCCATTCAGCACATGTCTTACATATGTCTTGCATAGATCCGTTCGAACATTTTTAGATTGCTTCTAGATGTTAGCAGCTGTCCAATATGTCTCATAAGATCCTGTAATACGGTTGACACATTTTCTAGCACATGCGTGATGTCTTAGGTGTTGTCAACGTGTCAAAACAGAAACAACATGAGTCTGTTGTATTTCCACAGATGTTTAGAATAGTTCTAGCATGTGCCTAGTTACCTCACAACCATATTTAGATTGCTTCTAGATGTTTCAAGTGTCCGATATATGATATATGTCTATCACAAACGCAATATGTGTCTATCATACGGTTGGCATGTGTCCTAGCACATGCGTGATGTGTTGAGCATTTACTTCAGTTGTTTCAAGTACGTGCTGCAATTCTATGTATCCACGCTTTCAGCATAGTTCTAGCATACTCTCAGCAAAATCCTATGTGACCTGCACACTGAACATGTGCGCACACGTCCTAATCCTGAAGAACCCTCGACTTGTATGGAAAATGCCACTGCTGAGGGGACGTCCCCCCTCTCAAACATATGTGTCATTCTTTCGAGTTGTTCACAGACCAACTTCCCAGCGACACTGCATCAATGCATGTAAATAGAGCTGCGCTTCTTGCCCCAACGCAAAGGCAGGCCTCAGCCGATGATTTGTGGGACCGCAGTGAGGTCTCACGTGCACGCCAGACCTCAAGCAGGGAGCCCAAACTGAGGGCAGGTCGATTCTCTCTTCTGACACAGCCCCCTCAGGAAAGTCACGCAGTGCCCGCCGCATCGCTTGCCGGTCTCCACTGTGTGCACCATCCTGTGTATAATCTGCACTTGGCAGAGGAAAATGTCCCTGCTAAACTTAGGCAGTGTGGACTTTGCACACCTTACCACTCAGCCCCAGCCACTAAAACTCTACATGGGTGATGTCCGTTTCGCTCCATGTATAGCACCCCCAAACAGGGCACTGCAAAAGAAGGACACCAGAACTGTACAGCCGTCACTCAGCCACGTGCACTACTCCAGCTCAGGGCTCATTGCCACGGGCGGCGCCAGCACCAGGTCTAGGCTTTGCCCTGCAAGTGCCAGCAGCTCTGCGGCTGCTTTAGTCTCTGACACCTCGAAGCGAGACGCTTTGGAAGGCCTCTCCACTCGCGGCACTTCCGCGGTTTGAAAGGGAGCTATCGGGTTCGGGAAGCTGTCCACAGCCTACAGGGTAAGCTTGAAGTGAGCCATCAACCAAAGGAACGAACTGTACCAACACCGTGGGATACCCCGCTCCAGTCCACAAACAAGGCCAGAAGCACGAGAAAGCTCATTGTTGTCCCATAAACCAAGCGCATATCTGGGTGTAAGTCCTAAGTGATGTCCAACCATTCGAAATCATAGCAAAAGAGCGCGGAGCAAAGTTGCGCCCTGACTTCCCTGACTGCTCCCCCCTGACTTTTGCAACATGGGACCCCTCAAGGTTTCACTTTTTGACTACTCCAGGGTGCCTTACACCCCACGGGTGCTTCATTCCCCCCAAAAGGAGAACCCCCTGCGCTTACGTCCCCAACGGGCCAGCGGGCGCCCGGGATGCCACGGCGCCGTGGCTTTGGCGCAGGCCGCGAAGGGCGGCTTGCCGGGCAGCTCCTCCGCACTCACGTCCCCAGTGAAGCTGTGCACGTGGAGCCAGGGAACCGAGCAGTAAGGGTACCTACCGCCAACGAAAAAGGCGCCCGGGGCCGCAAGCCCGGAGCCGCAAGCCCGGAGCCGCGGCTTCTCACAGTCTCAAATTTGCTGGTTTAGATTTGACCCCGAAGATATGGGAAAAGAACAAAGGGATGGTAGTCGTGGCAGTAGAGGCATGTGTGAGGCTTCGCGCAGTACCATCTTAAATAAGCCTGGGTTTCTAGCAGACCTAATTGGAGAAGCCCTGAAACCTGATGTTGTTTTTGTGTCAGTTCACCTTCGCCTCTGGCTTTTGTGTGAAAGACTTTGCGGTCAGAGTGGCAGGTGCACGCACTGCCACTCTGGCATGGCGCCAGCTCCGACAGTCTCGGCATAGACCTGGGCCCGGACTTCCATGCAAAGCAATTTGTTGGTATGGCAACGACGGCTAGATGATCCGGGCGAGCGCTCGAAGAAGAAGCCGATGCGAATCTGGAAAGCTTTCAGCCTCTTCCATTGCTGCCGTGGCGCACCCCTGCCTATGGCCAGGATCTCGGCCAGGTATTCCTGCGCGTGCTCCGGGCCTTGCAGTCAGCCCAGTCGGAGCACATGAGTTCACTTAGCTTGACAGGGCGAAGCCATTCTCCATGTGCCATCGCAAGACATTCCGTGTCCTTTGAATATAAAGGCACTAAGGCTGCCTCGATCAAACACAAGTCAACAGAAGAGAAGGTACGTGCCAGGGATATTGTTGGGTATCTGGGCACCCGGCAATGCGCCGCCAGCTTCCCTATGTCTCGGAAGTACTGCACGGGGATGGTGAGGACATCACTCTTCTGTTGGATGTTGTAGAAGGAGGCAGCCACAGAGTTGATCTGCAGGGAGGTCTCACCGCAGTTCACCTCCTGGCACCGCGGCAGCGGCTGGGAGCAGTTGAAGTGGCTCAGGCACCTCAGGTTGAACACGCATCGGGCAAGTCGATGCCTCAAGGTGTGAATGTGCCCTGCTTTGGCGAGCGCAAGCTCGAAGATACTCATGGCATCAGAGAGGTGCGCCATAGCAAAGCGAGCAAGTCTCAAGTTCTCATTCCCTATGTGGCCACTTCCAGCGTAGGATGCTTCCTACCCCTCCCCAGCTACCGCGCCACCGCGCCTGCCCGTGTAGAGGCAAAAGCACCAGGCGCTACCGGGCAACGTCAGCGAGGAAATGTCGCCACCTTCGGCGGCAAAAAAAAGTCCAGTCGCGAGCCGAAACAGGACTGCCATCCTCTCCCAGCCTTTGCACAGCGGCGTGGCCGTGCTGGTGGTGCTTGTGCTCAGTGTGGTCGAAGCCATGTCTACGCTGGCATGCCTTGGCCGGAGACCAGCAAAAAACGAGGTGCCCATGAAATAAGCAGAAGGAAGGAAAGAGGTGCCATCTCAAATATGAATGACTTGGGGTTCGGTTTGGCCAAAAATTGTGGTTTGTGCTTCTGATTCTGCAGACCGAACAAGGAAGGGAGCTTCCTCTGAAGCCAATCTGCATGGTTTGACCTAACCCATCTGCAAGTGTTAAGTCTCTAAAGAACCTAAAGAATATCGAGTTGAGCAACGTGGCACCAAGAACCCCAACAGACCGTCAGCAGACAACAGGCAGCTCCAAACGCATCTTGCGGGAAGGATTTCAGCCACCTGTATAAAGGTTTGCTGGGGGAGCAAGTGCTCGATTCATCGACTTCATTAGGCACCAGCCGTTTTGGCGCACTCCGCAAACCATGAGCAAGGTGTGGAAACCACCGACATGTGGCACGTTCATAGCTATCTTGGATCAAGCGGCTCAACCCATTCAGAACTTTGCACTGATATGAGGAACTTTGAGGTCTCTGAGTGTCATCTTGAGCGGCTGCTCAACATCCCGTCCCCAGATGCAATACAACTCTCAGCTAGGCCCAGCTCCCTCCGCGCTCCCTCTGCGCGCGCGCGCGTGACGCGCGCGTCTCCACTCCCGGGGTTCCGGGCCGGCGCGAGAGGAAAAGAGGCACAGCCAGGAAGACCACCAGAAGCAGCGAAACGAAGCCCAGCAGCCTGGAGCCGGGAGCCTTTTGAGTGCCCAAAGGTGCTTCGGCCAAGTTCTTCCAAATATGCAAACATATCCAACTGATTGCCCAAGTTTGTTCCCTTGCAATTAGGCTTGACTCGGCCTGCTCTGCTCGGGTCCTCTTTGTAACGCGTCACTTCGGCGTTTCAAAGTGCCAGGAGAAATGGGTGTGGCTCAAAATGAAACAGGAGGGGCAAACCGCAGGTTTTGGTCCAGGTTTCCTTTTACCAAGGGTCCATCTTTACATATTTTTGAGCAGCCAAATGCCCGGAGAAAAAATTCACCTCCTTCGGCTTCGAAGCCCTTGGGCTGTCGAGGGGCAGGAACCTCTGGGAGCAGCAGCGATCGCGGGCCTCTCAAGTGACCGGTTTTGACCATGAACGCTTTTTTCCGTGGGAGATATCAGCGTGGTGCTCCAACCAATGGCCATCCTAAGGACCTTCTGACCATATTCAAAACTGAGGTCTGCCCCTTGCGCATTGAGTGAAAGTGATGGAGTTCGGGGATGCAGAAACTAACATAGAGGGGCAAGCAACCAGGCTGCTCGCAATTGAGACATCTGGGCAGCCCACAGGAATCAAGCTGTCCTCTGCAACTCCAACAAAAAATCGTTGATGCACGAGGCGCCACGGTCGGACTTCCAACCGATGCAATCAAAACGGGCCGAAGGAAGATCCCTCCGCGCTCGGCAATGGGCCTCCGTCCGCAAAGGCTGGCTGAGGTTCATGGCATCCCCTTCCCACCGGCAGAGACAGGAGAAGGCGCTTGGTGAAGTTTGAGCGGCGTGGGTTGACCTATGTGGCGTCAATATGCAGATTCGGTTGATGCGGCGTGATGTGGACACCTGGAGGTTTTGTTGCAGAACAAGGGGGATTCAGGGAGATTCTGGTCACTGGCAGTCCCGTGGGCTGCTGATTCTCTGCTGCCAAACGTCAGGCCAGAAAAAACATGCAAGACACAAATGTGCCTCGAGCCACAAGATTCAGTATTTCGCTCCAAGCGGGACAAAGGCCAGCACTTGCAAATACCAAAGAGATAGTTCGGCCACAAGCCACAGAAACGCATCCAAACAAGCCACACGAACCGTTTGCGGGCTGCCAGCTGTGATCGACGCAGGGCTCTTCATTACTTATCAACAGCTCCATCCAAGAAGCGGTAACTCTCTTGACACAAAAAAAAAACTCCATCGCCACAAAATGCAAAGCCCCTTAAGCTTCGCGTCTCTCAGCGCTGGGCGTCATCAGGGACAGCGCGGCGCGTCCCGGCGGGCACTCCATAGCCTCGCCGGTGCCTTGGCCATGGGACAAACTCCCATGGGCGTCATGGTTCGTCTTGGGACGTCTGACCCTCCCCAAACATGGAACCTGCACAGTGATCGCCCTTTTTACAAAAACTGTCTTGGAGCAAGTTTGATGTGCTTCATTTGAAGTCTAAACTCCTTAGTGGGTGAAATGAGTCCACCAGACCAACCCCCTTTTTTCGACCACGGCACCTCGGGCGAATCGGCCCCTATCCATCTCCGTCCTTGTCGGCCCGAGCTCGCGTCCGGAGCGCTCTGGGACCTCGCGCCCATGGCGGCAGAGATGGCCGCCGCGGCGGCGGGAGCCGCCTGAGATGTTTTTGTTCGCGCACAACTCGCTGGGTCGGTGGGCAAGGAACGAGAAATGGAAGTGACCGATGTGGTTTCCTAGGGGGGCAAGAAATAGCTAATACATGAAAGAAATGAAGCCATAGGTTTAAATCATGTCCGATTTGGTTTAGGGAAATCCCGTTCGGTTCATTCCCAAAACCCGGAAGGTCATTCCCCACTGAGCACCAGCAAGACAAAGGGCGAGTGGACCTTAGCCCCCATGTAAATGATGTCAGCCGGAGCCCCGATCAAAACTTCATACCCACTTGATCTGAAGCCCAGTAAAGCAAAGCCTCAAAGACAATGGAGGTCAGCACTGATAGGTTCAGAGCATTCCCTGCTTGGTGCAGACTTCGTGGGTAAACCTATCCCCTGGTTCTCAGATAAGGCCACATTTGGGGCCAGGTTGACGGGACTGCATCTCCATCATGACAGCAAGAAGACCGCACATATCAAGGGACAAAACGAGTAAAAACTCTGCGGATTTCTCTAAGAACAAGGAAGAAACTCTCAGCTGGGCGCTGGTGCAGCCCAGAGCATCGTGTTGCCGCATGCACAGGCAGAGTGAGTCACGTTGAAAGGACATCAGTCAGATGAGTTGACTGGACTTCGGCTTGGGCCCAAACCTCTCCCCTCGTAGGTCTCAAAATAGGAAACCCCCCTGATGGTTTCAAGGAAACCGAAAGGAAACCACCCGCCGCCATCGGTCCCATGGCACAGGTGTTTCAAGGGCCTCAGCTGCAGGCGCCAAGCCTGCCACGATGTTGAGCCAGATGGGACAGGTCGGAATGAGATATTCGCTCCGGGTTACACTCTGTCCATTGCAACTGGGTTCTGAAAGCCCACCCTTCCAATGGAACTGGGTTCTGGGGGGAAGCCCTTTTTTCTTCCAAGCCCCATCGCCAGCTTCCATGCTTGTTGGAGGGAGAAAAAATGATTGACGCACAAAGTTCAAAACACAAATTTCAAAACTAAAGTTGTGCGAGACCCGAAAGATCCTACAGGTGTACAAGGTGAATAATATTGACCACGTTGACTCCTTGGCAGGAATTCGCTGCCTCCCTTGGCCCACAGCTCCAGCTTCAGCCACACACCTGAGCGGATCGTGTTCTGTGTATTGGAGACACGGAGGTCAGATGAAACAGCTGATACTTGAGGGCACCAAAACTGGCACACCAAATCTCAGCAAGCGCTGCATTTGTCACGTCTCTATCGAAAAAAGTTTAGAGCATGGCATCGCTCTGATGTTGCTTCCATCCAGAACTACTTGTCCCTGTGTTGGCGCCCTTGAAGCAAATAAATACGCATGTCATGTAATTTCCAGGAACGTTGTAAGCAGTTTTGCAAATCTAGTTACGGGCTGCAACAGAAAGGCCCGCGCTCCGAGGCTGACGTTTGGGCTGGCACGCAGGCCCACCGTGCCTGAGTGCAAACCCTCGCCCTGCGGCTGCCATTCGGGCCTGGCTTTGCGTTCATGGAAAGAACACCCGGAGTGCAGCCTCCCGGCATTTCCGAGCTCCGAAGTTCATGCGTGACAACAAGAGACACGCAAATTCCATTTGACTTGGCAACAAATCTCTCCTCTGACCAGAAACAAAAGACCCATGCCTGCTGTGCTCTTTTGCGACCTGCAGAAGCTCAGCCATGGGTTCTAATCAAAGGAAAGTAGTGCAGCTTCGCACGAGTCGCTGCTAGCAAACGCTCGGCGCTTTTTGCCCACTTGGCAAATGCCGTGGCAACGAAGATCAGCCAGTCGGTCTTGTCCCTCTAACCTGCGAAAGGCAAGAAGCAAGGCGTGGGCTGTGTATTGTTGACCCAGGCTTAACAATCACGTCCCATTGTTAGGGGGGTGTTCCCTCCAACAGTGGTCTGAATCCCCACTGAAAGGGGCCCTTTTTTTGATCAACTAGGGGTACTTAGATCCGGGGTGAACGATATGACGACGTCGCTCCCAGTCCTGCCATCACTTCCCGCTCATTTGGCCCAGTCCTGCGAGCCAGGTCTGAGTTCCGCGCAGAGGCCTGCGGGTCTTTCGCGGGCACAAGGCGCGCCTTTCCGAAATTCCGGTGCCCACTCGAAGGTCTGCCCTAGCCTCAAAGGAACTTGGGAGCATGACTGAAGACATCTGCAAAGAACTTACAATGAGTATATTGATGTCCAGGAAGGCAAGGCATTCTGAATGGCGCTCAAGGTCAAACCCATGCATCGTGAAAATGTCTGTATAGCCCAGAAGCAGCTTTGCACACTCCATCTGCTTCTCTCTGTATTCCTCACTGATGTCATAGCGAGTTAAAGCCTGGAACAGGTCCTCAGCTGCCAGGTCTAACGTAGCGCTTGAAGACATTCTGAGTGTGCCTGGAATGACTTGAAGCCCCACTTCTCCACGACAGGCTCCTGGGCTGCCCGCACCGTGTCGACCTGGGAGAAACCGCATGGGTACCCACATGTGGCCATGGGTCAAAAGCAGTGAACCTCCCGATCCCCACTAAAATAGACTACACTGGGTGGTGCACCTAGCCCAAAATGGGATCCCAAAACGGTTTTGACAACCACAGCCACGTGTCTTCACCGTACCTCGAAGCCCATGGCCCTCAGCTCAGCTTTCGGCCGTGCTGAGACCGTAGGCCTTCAGGTCACGGCCATCTGACAGGAAGCCTTGCTGAATCTCCGCAAGCTTCGCTTGCAGCTCCGCCTCAAGGTGAAATTCAACAATCACTAACTCGCTCGTTTCCTTTCACCCCTCTCAGATCAAAGGTATGAGGGGGGAAGAGTGGGGGATGACTGACTGGGAAAGCATTCCAGCTCCGGGGGCAAATATCACTCTCAGCTTTGCCCAGCGTGGCCTTGGACCAAAGCAATGCTCAGCCACCTGCATCCTTGTAGGCTGCGATCAGGTCATCCAAGACCCTGGTCACAGTGAGGTGGCATCTTGCGTGTTGACATAGTTTGATTATTGCCTTTCTAGATTCTAGATTCCAGATGAACAAGAAAATGCGTGGTATCAGTGAGGGGCATGCGTCACGTCTCGTGGGGGAAAAAAAACAAGCTGGCAGATTACGCCTGAGAAGCACGTCCTCCTAAACACGCTCCACTACAAGTAACTCCTGTGTGTCTCAAACGCGGAATGCCAAGAGAGACCAAGTGATAAACTAGGAGCACCGGCCTGCCTTCATGGGATATCCCCGTACCCACCCGGCGAACCACCGGCCACTCGGCATCAAGTCTTGAGCCGAGCAACATCAGCCCGCGCTCCTGGGAGAGTTCTGGAAGGCTGTGCCTCAACGCGAAAGTCGACGGTGGTTTCACACTGGTTCGTGTAGTCCAATGCTGGCCAGAAATACAGCCACCGGGTGGAATAAACGGAGGAAACCAAAGCCCCCCCGACCCCCAGGAAAGATTCTTTTCTGGCGGGTAGGGTATCCTAGTCACGTCTCTCTTCTGAAACTCAGTCAAGTCTCTTCACATGAATCACATCAGGCAAGTCCTGCACTCAGCTACATGCCGCTCATACGGATGCAGATCCGAACGTCAAAAACACAGGTGGTCAGAACATCACGGAAATGTGGCTCGAGTTCATCATCCCTCCTGTCCTTGACAGTGTCCAAGCCGCCCACCTCAAAGGTACCGTTCGGAGCCTGCAGAGCACGCTCTCTACACAGTACCTGCCACTCTACCCCTTGCAAGCCCAATGGGTGTGGCTCAAAAACAAATGGGGCCAGGGGGCCGCAGGTTTTAGCCCACTTGTCCTTTAACCCGGGCAAGCCATTTTGGGCCCCCATTCTTGGGCCACACCCAAATGCCCCGCCGGTCCCCTAAACCCACTCGACAGGACTCGCGCCTCCCCAGAGAAGAGCCGGACCTTCTCCAGGTTCCGCACCTCCGCCAAAAAGAGGCCCGAGGCCTTCTCCCCCGTCCTGCAAGTCCGGCTCAAGGCCCCGTCCGTTTTCCGGTCCGATCCGCAATTCAGCCGCGCCAGCTTTGGAACGAAAAACCCGGAGCAAGGAAACCATGCTATGAGCTCTGGCGCTTGACACTGGTGATGCCAAGAATCAAAGCTGCGAGCTTGGCCAGGATGTCCTGAGGCACACCCCTTTGTAACTCGCACAGCCTTCGCATTGCAATGCAACATCATGTTGGAGCCTTAAACAGAAAAGAAGGTATCATTGTACTGGCTCAACCTCTGTCCCTGCCTGCACAGTGACATCCTCCTCGAGATCTACAGTTCGCTTCATCTGCTGCCCTCGCTTGAGGACCTCGAAAAGCGGAAAGGCAAAGCGACCCCACGACGCTGAAGCCCGGAAGCCCAGCTTTGCCCAGCGCCTGCATATCCACACTCTTGGCCATGGCGCAGGACTCAAGAGATGCTGTTCAAATGGGGTCACGTTGCGACAAGCCTTTTTTTCCCGCTCATTCGCCTGATTGTAATCATGATAGATGCACTCCAAGAGTTACGAAGCATCATTATCGATATTGTCGGTTTAAGCCGCCTGTGATCTTCAGCAAAGGTACCCTGTTGCAAAGTATGCTTTCATTTGTCCTCCATGCCACAGCTGAGCAGCCAGGAATCGAGGCAAGAGTTCGTGCAGTCATGGGGTCTCCAAGCACCTCTGCCGCCTTCTCTGGAACATCACTCAGTGACAAGCGCTGCATAGCTTGAAGAGGCTTCAATGGGAAGAACATGCACCCCGTAGTACCAGGATTGCACTCACACTGAGCTGAGTCTTCCCTGCCTGACGCTTCCGGCGCTTCCGGCGCTTGCAGCTCCTCAACGAATTTCGCGGAGAAGGAAGACAAGTGCGACACGTGCAAATGGCTTTCACCCGAGCTCGCCATTGCCGTGGAAGCAGAACAAAGATGAAAAACACAACAAAAGCGCTCATTTTGACACCGCTTGATGACTCAATCTAGCTTCAGGACTTTGAACAGCCACTCATGGAGGATGCTCAGCTCCTGCACTGGGGCCATTCTAGCCACATGGCAGCGCTCTTGCACAAGCATGTCCAACAAAAAGTAATAAGCAAATAACAAACAACTAAGATCTAGCACATGCCAATGCCATGCTGCAGCTTCATATCCGAAACGGTGTTGACAAGTGACAGCGTTGCATGCCACATCTCAAAGCAATTAGATTCCCCTTGCAACCAACTAGAGATTGTGTCCGGGCGCGTCTGCGCCATCTGCGCCATCTGCGCCATCTGCGCCATCTGCGCCATCTGCGCCATCTGCGCCATCTGCGCCATCTGCGCCATCTGCGCCATCTGCGCCATCTGCGCCATCTGCTCCATCTGCGCCTGCGCCAACTTGCGCTGTCTGCGCCCAGTCTGCGCCGTCTACACCGTCTGTGCCTGCGCTGTCGGCGCCATCTCAGCTGTGGCGCGCGTGGCGGGTTGGTAAGGATCGTGCAAATGGTGCAGATGGTGCGGATGGAGCGGATGGTGCTGATGGTGGGCAGACGTGGACACCGCCGCAATGCAAATGTCCAGTATTCGCTTTGGGCCAAACTCTTCACTCTCAGTAGCGACACCTGGCCAGCAGTGTCACAGCTGCGTCCTGCCCATTTAACTCATGATGGAGTCCAGGAATGGTCAGGAAGTCCACGTTCAGGCCCATGGCTCGCAAGCGGTTCGCGGTCGCTCGCCCCCAGGAGGGCTGAATGAATCGGTCAGCCTGGCCGGAACTCTCGGAGTTTCTGTGGCTAGGGTCTGTTCTAAACCGCCCTTCAGCAGCCAGTCAAAGGGGTTGCTTCACTTGAGAGCTATGCCCGCCTCTCCGTGCATCATGAGGATGGGATTCTTGCACCTGCTGGAACCGGCGGAGCTTTATGTGCAACCACCCAAACAGGAACATCTATGAACGTGGCCCCTCTCCCGCCCAGCAACAGTTCTTTAGTCTCACAATAATGAACCGGCTACTTCAACAATGATAGTCCAACCTTGCATCCGCTGTAGGCTTGCCTCCCAAGCTCACAGTGCAAGTCCAGAACATGTGTTGTCAACATATGTGATCCTAGTTTGATTCATGAGTCAACAGGAGTCTGAAAACTGTCTCGACAATCAATGATCACCCTGATCAATGCCACTGGCTAGAACCAGCGTAAGACTAGGTAGAACCGCCTTTCACTTGGCCAATGGGCTTTTCTTGGCGCTCCCTCCAAAACCATCAAACGGGTTGCGCGGGGAAATTTTGGTAACCGTCCCTCGCTTGGCCTCTCTGGCTCTAAGGTCTCGTAGACCTTGGCGTCGTCGCACATGAAGGAGGACAGCACAAAGGCGGCGCCCATTTCCTCGGGGAACCGCAGAGCGGCCTGCAGCGCGATTCCGCCGCCCATGGAGAAGCCTGAGCGACTTGGGAAACGAGTTTGGGTGTAACTCTCTCTTTTTAGGATCCGACCCCCCAAAATGGGTTTTTATTTTGGGTGTCCCTCTAAAACCCACCAAAAAGGGTAGAATCAAAAAAAGAACCACCCATTTGAGGAACTTACAACTGTTCCATTGTTTCGTTCCTTGTCTTTGCTTGAAACTTAGGGAACGTCAAGAGGACATAGATTGACTTTGGAGGTAGTGGACGCAAAAAAAACTGCCCGAAGGCATGCCTAGAGCTAAAACAAGCTGCACAGAGCTCAGAACCGCACCTCCGATCGCTATGCGGTGTGGTGGAACACCAGCATCCTTGACCTGCGGCAATCAAAACAACCTGAGCGATTCAACGCAGGCTGCAAGCCATCTTTCCACTCCTGGACCGCGAAAAAAAGGCGTGGAGCCAAGCAGGAGAAACCTTTTCCACCTTCCAACACATCATCCATCCGACGCCTGGGACCCCAAAAACCGCACCCCTGGGACCCAAACGCCAAATGTCTCCTTTCCACCTTCCAAAACGTCATCCCTACACCCCTGGACCCCCCTGGACCCAACACTCCTTCCCTATCAGAGACTCGGTCGTTTCGCCTCCCGCACCAACTCCATGATCCTCTCCACCGAGCGCTCCACCGACTCGGTGGCCTCCGGCGCGCTGGGCGCCAGGCCGACCCGGTCCTCGGGACTCGGGACGAGCGAGCCGTCGCCTGGACTCGGGGAACCCCGCCCTTCGCGGCGCCTCAGACAAAACGCCTGCGGCTTTGAGGTACGTGGGTCAAAACCCCATGCCCCCATGGGTGGTGCACCCCAATTGGTTTTGACCCTCCCTCTGCTGCGCCGCGTCATGCATCCAATGCGTCAAGCGGCATACCAAATCGGCATGACCAGACCTCCAGCAAGTGTATACCTGTGAAGGTCTGCACTCCGAAGCAGCAAAGTGAAGCTGAATCTCACATAAACCCAAATGCCAGGCGATAATCAATACACAAGCTAGGCTGGATACATCCAAAGAGAAAGGAAGGTTTGCGGTCTTTTTTAGGGGCAAGGGATGACAAGGGTGACAAGGGGGATAACCCTTCCAGGGATTCCAGGCTTTGCGTCAAAGCTGCCGGTGCGCGCCACTGTCTGGCCAGAAAGTCTGGACACCCTTGGCGTCCAAATCCTCCAGCAAGTCTCCGCCCACAGCCGTGATGTATCTCTTCAACCTGGAGATTAATATTTGTACAGTGCATCAGCTACAGAAATAGGCAGGGTCTGTCTAAAACAACTAGGTACGGCAACGGCTTACATCTTAGATATAATTCCTGGGATGATACTCGCACTCCGTGCTGATTCTGTTCAGTTGATTACTCTGTAGGCCTTTCGGCGTTGCCTGTAACACAGCACATCATGCATATCACTACTCCCACAATAGCAATGAGTAAGAAGGCAGCACCACAAGTGAGGAAAGACCATTGGTGCGAGTGTGTGTGTGTGTGTGTGTGGGGGTGTGTGTGTGTGTGGGTGTGTGTGTGTGTCTGTGTGGGCGCGTGTGAGGGTGTGTGTGTGTGTGGGTGGGTGGGCGTTAGTGAGTGTGTGTGTGTGTGGGTGGGTGCGCAACAGAGTTAAGGGCAAGTGCATCGGCCAGACCACTAAAAATAAGTCACCATAGCATCAGAAATCCTACTCCTTTGTAAGCTAGTTTTGAAGAACGGGCCAAAAAGCGTATTTGGATGAAGTTAAGACAGGAACTGACCCAGCTTTGCGCAGGCTCTCTTGGGCCTTATGCCCCTTCTCCCGTCGCCTACGTCCCGTTCCCCACTTCCAGTTTCCTTCTTTGTGCCTGCTGTCACACCTTGCCTCAGGCTTCAAGCACCTCTGAAGCACTCCCTGGCAAAATCTGACTGCTCAAACTTTGCAGCTCAGTAGCCCTTCACCAGAGTCGCCGCTGCCATGCAGAAAAATCACGGCTGCCGGCTGCGAAGCTGGCTTTGGAGCTTCGCTGGCCAACTTGGATCAAGCTGCGACACCCCATTTTGACTCCCAATTTGGGATGACAGAAGAATCCCTTGCTCTGGAGGAGTGCAAGAAGCCAAGTGCATCTCTCAAGCACTCAATCAGGGTGGACTTCAATCTTGAGATCACGGATTAAGACTGCCATGGCTCGGACCCCCCACCCCATTTGAAGACTGGAAGAAAACGAGCCGTCCTAGATAGGACACCACGTCCCACTTTGCTCCAAGGTGCAGCCGTCCGAGGCAGGCCCAGCAGCAGCAGCCACGGCAGGCGCCGCCGGTGCCATCCGGATCCGGTCTGACGACGCGTGCAAGGGAAGGGCCTCTTGCGACCGTCCCTGGTTTGTTCACCGGGGGGGTGCAGCCAGGGTTCCGTTTTTCGACTACCCCAAGGTAGACTCAAACCCAGGGTTTCCCTTTTGGGGAAATCAACCATGGGTGTAAGTCGACTTTGGGGTCAAAAAACAGAACCCTGCTTTTGGGAGGTAGTCAAGAAGGGCACCCGAAGCAATTGGAGGGCTCCGGAATGAGGCACTCAAGTGGTTTGCGTACGGCGATTCCCCGAAGCCCCCCTTTGCCCCATCCTTGCGCCAGCGGCTGAAATGACTAGATTCCCAGGCAAAGTAGGCAAGACAATTGTGGCAAGGCACAAGTACTCGGTGAGAAAAAAGTGGATCACACGTGCCTAATGACCAATCCCGGCCTTCGACGCAGTGCTTGCAGACCGTCTCCGTGAAAGCTCAGGCGGTGCCCGGCGTGCCATGATACTGGTGGGTTCCTGCGAATTTTGTCAACGGCTTGTCTTTCGGAGTGACCCTGATTGGGCATGTGTTTGAGTGAGGGGGTCCTTTCAGAGCAAAGGGCTTCCTTTCAGAGCATTGGGGTCCGGAAAGAAAGTTCGGCACGTGCGGCTTGAAACCTGACCAAGAGGCTACAAACAACGCAAAAAGCCGGAAATCTGCGCAAAAACGTGGGTTTTTCTGCCAGGGAGCGTTGACCTGGACGCCAGATCTGAACGGCGCAAGCTCCATGGCTGGGGCACCAGGTCCAGCTGAAACTGGGCTCTCGGGAATGCTGTCGATCCATTGAGCGTCTGGGGAAATGCCTTTGACAGGTGACTTCTCGCTGACTTTGCAAGTGACTTGTGCTTTCGAGCCAGGTACAAAGCTCTTTGCAACGGACACTCGCTGACAGATTCTCAATGAGACAAAATACCTCTCACCTCCAAAGCATCCAAAGTGTCTACGCTCTCGCGATTCTCCGTGGTCCTTGGCTCGCTCTCTTCCTGAAACGCCATTGCCAAGCCGACCGAAGGAACATTTGTAGAAAGTTGGTCCTTTCACCGACCGGCCCAAAACCTCTGGGTTCTGACAGCGGGCTGTTCAAATCTTGATCAGGGTCTGGCTTCTTGTTGACACAAAAATGCTCAACTGAACGCTGCCTCACTTGAGCTAAAGCAGTCTTCCAGCAGCATCTTCACCTGCCAGAGAGGCCCCAGAGGTTTTCCCCGAGAAGCTACGCAACCATTGACCGACCCTCGACTCCATTGGCCCTGAAGACAATCCTCCCCCGCAAGATGGCCTCCTCGGAGAGCTGCGCCGCTCGCGCCTCGGTGAGGAAGGGCTTGCGCGGAAAAGACATGGTATTCCTCCAGGAGCACGAGGAACGGCGCGAGAAACAGCGCAGATAATTTTTCATGTGTTTGGCGATCTGTTCAAGAGACGTAGCTACCGCGGCTAAGTGGGCCGATGGCTAGAGCAGCCACTGCCCCAATGGCGAAGCTGACAGCAATTGCGACCCAGCAGAGCTTCCACTGTACCCCAAACTCTGCCTCAAGTCTCAGGGGCTGAATCGGTGGATGCAAGCCCCTCTGCAGGGCGTGGCCCGCTGAGAAGGCCGCGGCCAGCGCTGCCCACGGCTGCAGCGCCCTCAAAAAGTCGTCCGACCAGAGCGCTGAATACGGCGGCCGCTCCCGCCAGGACGCCAAAGCGCGTTTGCCCTCGTTGGCCAGGAGGACCATCAGCAGTCCCGGGTAGATGAGCGCGGCGGCGTCCGTGATGACGAGGTTCTCGCATCTGGCCCGCACGAGGACCAGGAAGCACAGCTGCGAGGAGGGCAGGCTGCAGGCCAGCGCGACCTGCGCTAAGAGCTTACGTTCCGCACGAGGCACTGAAGACATAAACTCCGGAAGTCGCCAGAAGCGCACAGCATCTGCAAGTGTCAGCGCAAAGGCAGTGCAAATGGACATGAAGCAATTGATCAGCGTGAAAAACTCGGCCAGTGTCCGTCTCATGCAAATACACTGGGACTCTGAATTAGTGGCGCATATGCCACCGTCGTCGGTGCACTCTTTTGGACAGAAGCCCTGGTACACACACTTTTGGGACATATTCACATCGATCACCGTCTGAAAAGGCATGCACAGTATTGCCAGCTTCAAAAGCAGGCATAGTTTTTTGCAGATCAATGCATATCGCATGTGCCGGTCCAATAGAAATCCAGCAATACTTTTGGGCAGGCGGCTTGACAGGACTGCATGCAAAGAGACCAGGATCTGAAGGCCCGCCATGGCAATCGCCAGGGCCACAATGCCTGACCTCGCATCATTCTTGACTTGAACAGAGTGGTAGTGATAGGACAGCTGGGCCACAGAGATGACACCCAGCGCCAGGCACATCATGTGCTGCCCCATCCAGGTTCTGGCGACCTGCGCCAAGCTCTCCCAGTCACGGCCCCTTTGCCTCACGGCAGTCAAGGCCTCGCAGAACTCGCCGGCCTCGGTGCTGCGGGCCATGCGCGGCGCCTTCCGGGCCCAGGCTGTCAGGTTGGCGATGGCGGCGAGGGCCAGGCCGTTGGGCAGCAGCGCAACGGAGGGCCAAAACACCGCGGGCCTCAGGGTGCCAAAGATGGTGAACACCGGCTGATGGCTTTCCTCGCCCAGCAGCATCACGACTGCTGAGGCTGCAAGGAGAATGACGCCCAGGGGGAGGAAGTGGCCAGCTGCCGTCTGTGAACAGAATGCTGCTAGAGAGCCAGCAAGGCCGGCGAGAGGCAAGATTGAATTTGCGGCCTTGTTCTTCCACAGACTGCTGGCCAAGGAGATAAGCATGATCACCGTACTCAAGCCATTGAGACCAGTTTGCAGAGTGGAGCCAACGGCTTTCAACCGCTCTTGCCACAAGGCAAGCTGAAACATGCACCCACCCAGAATAAGGCAAATGCCAAATGATCGCAAATAGTGTGCCTCGGAAGCAAGGCTGCACTCCCTTCCACAAGGAGTTGAGCGCCACGGGTGTGCACACGGCAGGCATTTCTGGCGATCTGTCACGGAAGCGTAAGTTCCAGCTGGGCACGGCAGTGGAATGAAAACGCAGGACCCGGTTGCCAGTATCCCCTGATTCAGAACCAGGCTGCTGACGGGCAGACTATCAGAAATAAGCAGCGGATGGGTCAGGTCCGCGCTCCACAGCAGCACGTACAGAATTCCGGCAGCCACCAGCCCGCCTCCGGGCAGGGCCGCCACCGCAAACACAGCACTATCGTGGAGTTGATGACCCTCCCCGGAACAACTGGCCACATCAGCGTCGAAGATGCGCAGGTCGACCTCCGTGCCGACCACCACCCTATTAGTCACATGCGCCATGGCATGGACCGTGGCGAGCAGCATGCGGCAGTGCACAGCCGAGCCGGTCGAGTTGGATGAGTTGGACGCGTACGACTTGGACGCGCTGGACGAATGATTTCCGTCGGAGACCGAGCCAGCCGCCCTCAGGTTCCAGACTTCCAGGCCATAAGGGCCATCTGTGCCTACCAAAAGAGCATCTCCCAGCTGCAGCAAGGCACGGCCCCAGCCACTCAAGGGAAGCACGTGTCTAACTTCAGGGTCAATGCTCCAAAGCTCAACTGACTTGTTGTTGGTGCCAACTGCTATACGACCGTCTGCCAGCTGTAGAATGGACAGTGGAAGTCCGCCAAGCTTCAGCCGTTTCTGCTGAGAGTTCTGGAAGATCACAAGGGCAGGGCCATCGTCACCGAGAATTCCGGCTGCCGCACCCTCTGCGAGGGTCTGGACCGCGTACACAGCCCCCGCCGTCTGGATGAGGCCCTCGAAAAGTCCGCTGTTGTCGGTCTCTTCTCCTGGGTCCTTCCATAGGTCTAACCAAGAAAGTTGTGTGCCCACGGCAATCCCGCCATCCTGCAAAGTCAAAAAGCTGAACACCGGCTCCGCCGTATCAAGGTGTGCCACAGCCTGGGGGCTCTGCTGCACACTTGCAGAGTCCGGCCACAAATGCAGCCCAGTGGTGCTGCTAACTGCGATACCACCAGATCGCAAGGATTGGGCTCGAAAGGCGTGGCTGGACAGGGCCGCACGGAGATACTTCGCAGGGCCTCTCCCCGCCATGGCTTCCACGTCCCATACTATGACCTCGGCAACTGTGCTCACGGCAATGCCACCGCTCCAGGCGAGCAGGTGCTCCTTGCCTCCAGCAGCCAGAGGCGCCAGTTGAGAGCTCCAGTTCCTGGAGAGCGAAAAGACGTGGACGTGCTGCCTCTGTGCTTCGCCGGCCAGCGCCGCCACGTAATCGTCAAACAACACCATCTGGGTCACCGAGTGCGCGGACAGGCGGCGGTCAGGTTCTGTCCAGTTGCTCTTTGGCAAAGTTTGCCAAAGGTCGATGCCCCCTACGGTTCCCGCGGCCAGACCTGCACCCAGGGCGGCCAGGCAGTTGATCTGCCCCAAGGCTGTCAGTTCCAGCATGGTTGATGCCCAAACCCGAATGCCAGTACCCTGATGCTGGGCAACTGCAAAGCTGCTGGGGCCAATCTTGGGCAAGGCAAGGAAGATCGCATCTCGGAAATTGTAGTCAGCCACCCCACGCTGCACAGATGTCTCATTCATCCAAAGCTGGAAATAGTACTCGGAGCTGCCAGCAGCCAAGCCTCCATTGCCCAGAGTTTGCATGAAACCCATGCTTTGAGTCACATTGAGCCTTGACGTCATCTTGTCCTGCTCTGCTCCGAGCTTGCTCCAAATGTTGATCGTCTGGGCATCCGTGCTCGCAGCCAGGCCGCCGTTGGGCAGATTTTGCAAGGACAAGGCCCCGCCGGAAGTGTGGAGCTGGCTAGCAGAAGAGCCAACCAATCCCTTACGAATGGTTTCTTCAGGCCAAAGCAAAATGTTGTACCTGCCAACTGAGTTAGAGGCTGCCATGATGCTTCCATCATACAGCTGTGCAAGAGCCGAGACTCGCCCTGCCCCTTTCAGTTTTGCAGATGGAGCATATGCACCATGTTCCAAAGCTGCAGGATGCCAGATGTTCACGGAATCTGCCCGAGTGCCAGCTGCGAGGCTGCGGTCATGGAGAAGCAACAGAATCGTGACGTGGTCAGATGCTCCCAGGCTCACAGAGTTGCTTGAGTTCCGTGTCTCAAGCGCTTCTGAAGGCCAGAACACAACTCTGGAGCCCATGGACAGTCCAGCTGCAAGCCCGCCTTGGACGCCGGCCAGCGTGGTGATTCCACAGGGCGGGAGCAGCGTGAAGCTCGGCTGCGCTTGGTCCCTCACGTCCTTGGCTTCCCAGATGTCCAGACTTCCAAAGGTGCCCGCCACCAGACGGCCTCCAACCTTCACCAAGGCAATGACATTGCCAGAGGACGGCAAAGACATTGGTGCAACAATCGGAGTGTTGGGCGATGGTTTCGGCCACACATAGACAGCCAGCGCCCCAGCAGCCACTCCCTCGCCCCAAGCAAGCAGCGCAAGTATGTCGCTGACATGGGTGGTGGACAAGTACTGGGGATCTTGCAAGGATTCTGTCCAAATGTAGATGGAGCCCATGCCGGTGCCTGCTGCCAAAAATTCCCCAAAGCTGAGTACTGAGTAGACAACGCTCTTCAGGTGTAGGACGGTACTGGGACCAGCACCAGCCAGCAGCAAACGCTGATCTCTCCAAAATTCCACCGTGTTTGACCCAGAGCTGACTGCAATGCCACCGAAGGCATGGGCAATGGCCCGGGGGTGCTCCTGAGCTTGGATCGCCTGCATCGGCTCCACAGGCGTGAGCTTCGCGGCGGTGGCCCAGCCGAAAGTCCTCAAGGACTGAAAACATTAGAACTTTGACGTCTGAAAAACCCAACTGTTTCAACCTTTCGGTGTCCACCAGTGGAAAAACCCAAAGGCTTTTGCTTGCTTCTCCTCATCCCCGGGGCGCCCATCGTGGCGATCAGGAAGTGCTCTGCGCTCAGCCCCGCCACCAGGTGCCGAGAGGTGTCCGAGAAGATCCGCAGGGGGCCAGGCAGAAAAGTGCCCGCCGGCGGCCAGACCTATCGCTGGAAGGAAAGAAAAAAACAACTTGGGAGTGGCGAACAAAAACGTCCAAAAAATGGCCGGAGAACTCATCCTGCCTCCGGCTCCTTGCACAGCCAGCCCACCACCAAAGCCGTGGCCGTGATCATCCACCAAGCGCAGTGGCTGCATCGCCCGCCCTGGCATCGCCGGCGGGGCTCATGCTCCATTGCGGCTTCTTAGCCTTGGCCAAGCACCAAGACTGTCGCAAAGCAGTTCTTTGAAGGTACCCTACCACACTGCTGTTTTTGCGGCAAGCTCTTGGATCCAAGCCTTAGGCTTGACCCAACACTGCGGCAAGCTCCAAATTCCCAAGGCCTTGCCGTGCAACATGTCTGGAGTGACTTTCCGACACCTGCCTCCAGCAATGTCACCACCTGCGCAGTGGACAAACTGTGTCTCTGCGGTCACCTGTTGGGAATTTCGACGGGATTTGCTGGCGCAGAGATTCAAAGCACCTTTGGTTTGGCAAGGGCAGTCAGAAGGAATTCTTGAAATCCAAGCTGAGTAGCTTGAACCTTGAAAACGTGTGCTTGATCGGACTCTGAACTCGGTTTCGATGCTGATCGATGTGTGCGATCATGATCCAGCTGAGGCAAGTGTTCCTCAAACGAGAACCAAAGCAAATTGCTTCAAACTATTTTTGCAGCTTCACCGAAGACTCCAAGGATCGCGTCAGTGCCGCATTGCTCAAGTTGCCCATGATGCTGACTCAACAAGATGGGATGGCAAGGTGACACGGGACACAAAAGGAAGAGGGCAGCGAAGGGAGGTGAACAGACGTGAGAGGAAGAGAGGAAGAGAAGACAAACAAACAAACAAACAAACAAACAAACAAACAAACAAACAAACAGAGCTTCACGCAGGCCAAACTCCAATGCCCCAAACAGTTCCGCCCAGCCTTTGGAAAACTGTCTCGCGGCCAGAAGGGCTGCGCGCGCAACCCTGGATGGGTCTCAAAGCGAAACAGGACAAACTGGCAGCCAAAGCTCCTTTTGAACAATAAGGATTCCATGAACTCTCCTGGATCTCTAGCAATTTGTGAGGTGCCTGTTGCAGGCATCAGGATCCCAGTAAAACCCAGCATCAAATGCGGTCAAATTCTGTGCAACAAAGCACTGAATGCAAGCAAGAATCTTCCTTTCCGCATTTGAAGTCAAATGCCTCTAGCCTCATAAACGCGTTTCCTCCCTGGGGCCTGGGGGCGGGTCGCACCTGCGAAAAGGTAGCTGGGGCGCTGCATCGACAGCCTCCATGCACAAACTGGCCAAGCAGCGGCAAGCAACTCTTTCTTCCTTCCCTTGCGCAGAAGCGTGCCTTTTGGCAAGACCAACTTGGAAACAGTGACTTCTGCTTTGGCCATAGCCTCAGTAGCCCACCAGCTTTCCCGCATGTCTGACCTTCATACCACTGGCTGGCTCGGGCTCGAAAGAAGGGGCGCTGCCAAATCGGGACGTCAGCCCGAGCAGTGGCACGAGGCCAAGCTTTGCGCCGAAGCTCTCCAGCCCCCAGCCTTTGGCAGAGTCCCAGCTTACGCCCAGTCCAGCTCTTGAGCCCGTCGGTCCAGCCCGCTGCTCGAGTTCCAGTTTCTGGCAATCACTTCGCGCAGGCCGCCCCAGCCGACATCATTTGCTCAAGCCGCATTGCTCTTACGGTTCTTTGGAGCCTGGTCAGGAACGTAGCGCAACGATAAGCTCTCAAAACATAAACTTGCACTGACTGCTGCGGTGGCTTTCATGTAAAGCTTTCTTGCGTCCAGAGACTGGTGAGTTTCTTGCTTGTCTTGCAAATGGGGCCAAACTTGGCAGAAAGGCAGGTACCCGGAGCAAAGTGGTACAAGTTGCTGTCCACAGCCGGTGGGCCCCACAAAGAGGCAAGGTTCATCAAAGCACTGCTGCGTGCCTGGCATCTTGCCGCTGCGCTGCTTGCTTGGCGGCAGTCAACAAGTCCAGGCCAAGCGGCCACTCCTCAGGGCTCACCCAATGCCCACGATACGTCTGCCTGCTCTTGCGGTGGCTGGGTATATTGCCGACACGACAGTCCTCCTCATCGCCATCTGCATACTGTATGACCTCAGGTTGAGCCTACTTGGAGAACTCTGGTTTGCTTCCCGATCTCGGACTGGGATGGATGCCAAAGGCTTGCCCACACGAACACGCACGCGCACACAAACACACGCACACGCACACGCACACCCACACCCACACCCACACCCACACCCACACCCGCACGCACGCACGCACGCCCGCAGGCGCGCCCGAACACACACATGCACGCATGCATGCATGCATGCATGCACAAACAAACAATCAAGCAGGCGGGCGGACAGACAGGCACAGAGAGAGAGAGAGAGAAAGAGGGAGAGCGAGAGGGAGAGCGAGAGGGAGAGGGAGAGGGAGAGGGAGAGAGAGAAAGAGAGAGAGAGAGAGAAAGAGGGAGAGCGAGAGGGAGAGCGAGAGGGAGAGGGAGAGCGAGAGGGAGAGGGAGAGGGAGAGGGAGAGGGAGAGGGAGAGAGAGAGAGAGACAGAGAGAGAGAGAGAGAGAGAGAGAGAGAGAGAGAGAGAGGCTTCCTCCCACGGCCCGTCATGCCTGCCCACCCGCCATAGCACAGGCGCTCTGTGCTGGCTTGGGTCCGCTGTATTTGTCTTGCTGGTCGCCCTTGCAACTGGAACTTCATTGCATGCAGCTGGCCATTGATGGATCTGGTGATGTCTATCTTGACGTCGAAACAGTTTCGCAGAATCTTGCAATTCGTATCAGTTGCATCCGTTTGTGTGGTGTCTTGCGTTGGATAAGCCGAGATCGGCAAGTCACCCCTTCAAACCCGGCAGGGCCAAACGGGTTCCAACGGGCGGGACCTCCTCCAAATCATGGGCAAAGCTCTTGAAGAGGGTCTGCACCTCACATCATCTCAACGCTGACAACCTTTACGAGAGCCCAAAGTGACTTGTCTCTTCAAGAGGTCACAGGAAAACTTGGGGGTCCCCCATGTCCTCCCCGAGCTAAGAGTAGAATACCAGCCATTTTGACACATGCCCACATGCCAAGGCGTTGGCGGCGGAAAGCTGCTTGCCTCAGGTGCACAGCCATTGAGCCACCATTCAGCCCACATCAAACCAGTCTTCAAAACATGTTTGCCAAGCTGCGCTTGCTTTCAACCTTGTGAGCGTAGAACTTGTCCAGGCGGTTTTCCTGCGTGCCAACGAACTCGCAATGCAAAAAAACAAAAAACTGGTATGCGTCTCCGCATCTGTGTGGAAAGCCTGGAGGACAGGTACAGTGTCACCACACCAGCCCTTGGGCTGTACCAGCGTGCTGGACACATCACACCACACTCCTTGGTCTCTTTGTTCCAGGCCGCCAGCGTGCTAAGGAGAAGGCTCAGGTTGATTTTGGACCTGGAGGTCTCAATCGCTCTCCCTGGTTCGAAATGGCCAAACCAAGCCGGCGGCAAGGCCAACAGCGTGCTTCCTCTTCTGCTTCAAGCTGCCGAGCCTCAAATGGATTCAAGTCTCTTTCCATGAGCCAACTGTCTGCCAACGGCTTTGGATCCAGCCCCATCGGGAACTAGGCCGAGAGACACCTGCCCCTCAGGGCTCCTTGCTGCTCATGCTCCGCAAAATGACGAAAATGCGGAAACATGCGTAGGAACAGAATCTCACAACCAGTCTTGGGATCTACGTTCAACAGACTATCCATGGCTCGTCCCCCCGGCTCCTCCGCGGCCTGCACCTGAGCTTCCAGGCTCCGAAGCTTCTTCTCCTGGCCGTTTTCTGAAGCCGAATGAACAAGAGGAAGATTGATGGGGCAAAAGCTCGAACCGAGGGCCGCTGGCTTTCAGGAGAGAGCTAACGATTCTGTGGAAGGGGCCAAACGGCGGCCGACCAGTCGCTTCTCACAGCCTCCGTAATGGTGTACTGCCACGCCCACATGACGCTGGTCAAAAGGCCGGTCTCTGTGGCGGTTGTCATACGATCCTCAGTCAGGCGGACCCTTGCAATTGCCCAGCTTCAGTCCCTCTAAGAGATGCACAAACACAGATATAGTCTCCTCCTTCTTTCTCAGCACATGGTCCTCAAGAGAATCCCGCAGACAGAATCTTCTAGGGGGCTTGGCCACTGAGTCTTGTGCCTGAATCTTCTGCTCGGACGAAGCCACGGTCTTTTGGAACTCCTTCTCCTGCCAGGCTCCAAGCACCCTTCCAAATTGACTGCAAGACGGTGACCAATGCTAGGCCAAAAAAATACACTGGAAACTCCACAACCACTTTACGCCTAAAATTCACGGACCCAAGAAAAAAAAGGAAAAAAGAGATCTTGCCAGCTTGGAGGTTGGCATTTTAAACCCTGACACGCGGCACCTGAAGCGGCGGCTCTTTCCCAAGGGTCTATGTCCAGCAAAGCATGCTCTGCATCTTTGCTGCAAAGAGGTGTCCAGCCCCAGCCATCAGCTCGTCTCAACAAATGATCAAAGAGTGTGAATTGGACATCTATTTCTGAGCTTTGCGACTGGATGTTTGGCTCAAGCTTGATGTTCTGGATCTGGATAATGCGTTGTTGGCCTCCCGTCAGAATCGTAGGTGACCTGCAGGGCAGTCCTGCAACTGCGGAGGCGGCACGCTTGCAAATCTATGTCGTGCCTATTGTCCCTAAGCATTGCAACCCGTTGATGGCAGGGGGATGAGAATCCGAGAACCCTAATATATACCAACCTTGGCTTTGACCAAGGCTAAAGAGGGCTTTCCAATTTTGGGTCTTTGGCTGTGGGTCAAACCCTGTACCCCCGGTGAACATCAAATTAGGTGGCACGTGGATGTTCATCCACCCCAAAATGGAGCCATGGGGTATGCCCCATGGCCATTTCTTTTTGCTGACCCAGAATCTGAGGCTCCGGGCTGCCAGAAGTGGGACTCCACGACTCTGCCGTTGACGATGACCTGAAACAATGTGGGGAACGGGCGGTGTCCGTTTGGTTTCCCTCTGAAAGCGTTCCAAAACGGTACACTCAATAAAAGACACACGCGCACATACACCTGTCTTTTTGCTCTAGAAGCCACTCTAAACAAGCTTCGTGCTGACAATGGGTGAACTCGGCTGCAATCGCTGCCTCGCTGGTATTCTTCTTGGCGCGTGCTTGGACCTGGCAAGAGAAAAGAATGACTTTGCTGCCTTGATGGGTCCAAGCTTAGCCACAGTTCAATGCCAGTTTCACGGTAAAAAGCAGCCCCTCACAATGATCTGAGCAAGGCATCGATCAGCTCGCTTCTCTCTTTCACTCGATGCACTCGACTTGAGCTGATCCAAATTACTCCCGTGCCATCCCCAAGGCGCGCTTCGCTTCGCTTGCATCCGGCCTCTGCCCAGAGCCTCTCTGCCTCGTGCAGTTCCAGTTGCACCTCCTGCGCCTCCTGGGAGTGGGACTTGTCTCAACACGGACGCCCCCGAAAACCACGGGACGAGCTTGTGGAGCAAAAGCCGAAAAAAACATACCAAACTAGATGCGACCCCGAAGCAACGCTCAGAAGACAAGCCACTCAACGCTAAATGTGGACACCAAGAACACATCAACTCGACCGACTGCGTTCACCCACTCGCCAGTGCAACGCTCACCCAGCCTGCGCAGCGGCCTCTGTGGACAGCGCGGCAGCGCGGCCTATCGGATGCAGCCGAAATTCGGCAGAAAAGAAGGCACCACCACCCCCCACAGCCCAACCAAATAGCAATAGAAAGGGCTGCCACTAATTCTGGTTGGGGATGCCCCTACTCAATTCCAATCATACAGGATTACCTTTTCAGGGCAGGGTACAAACTTTTAAGCTGCTTGGAAGACGTACTTCTTTTGTAACTGAACGATGCGACAAGCCGGATTGCTCTGCGGGCGTAGAAACCATACCACTTGAAAGAAACTCTAGGGAATCCCGAAATACACCAGACATGGGTCCCCTCATTTGCAGGTTCTATGGGATGCAACTTTACGCCGCCGCCTTCGCTCAAATGCGCCAGAAGAAATGGACTGCTCCATAAGAAAGATTGCATGTTGACTATTCGCTATGCCTATCTACACAATGATGGCGGAGCATGGCTCGGATAGAATCTGCCTCTCGGCAATCCAGGCGTGAGCCCGAAACCCCGTCCCTCAGTGCCAGGCGCAAGGTCTCCAATGCGCGTTCCAACTCCCCAAAGCTGAGGAGCGCCTAAGACGACACGCCAGTCGGAAAAGTGCACCGGTCCTTCGGATCGCAAAAGCGAACACGCTTTCTGACTGTGCGTAAACAAGTCTCCCATATGCGGGATGAAGAAGAAGGAACTGTGGAAACTGTTCCAAAGCTTCGATTGCCAATCCCAAACACAAAGATGTTGCTTGCTACGAAAACTACATATGTATACATATATATATATATATGTGTACCTGTATAGTATCCTATAATGAATAACAAGGACTTGAATACTATTTGAGAAAGCCAATATGCAGGATGTTGCAAGAACTGTGATGGAAGTTCCAGTCAAAATAGCAAGTTCTCCCCTGTTGGCATACGCAAGTCCACTTCCTGATCCACACCTTCCGAGCCAGCTACTCGCCCCAGCGTCAGGTGGCTCGCATACCACAGCGGCCTGGGGCCGAAAAAGCGTTGTCAAGCATCTTCTTGGGAAATATAGGTCGTCGGTGCCCATGGTGCACATGAGCTAACCGATGTCCCTTGCAGCCCAAAGCACACAAGCTGAAACGCAGCTTTTTCGGCCCGGCAAGCTGCATGCACACCTCGCCGGGAACTCCGCCGGACGCGGCACACGACGCAGCAACTTGGGCGCTACTCGAAGAGGCCAGTCAGAGCAAAGAGGAGCTCTTTGGCTTCTGGGTCTCGTGGGCCTCAGCTCTCTTGGCAAACCAGACGAGCTCTGACGCTGCTTTCTTGGACGAGTCACTGCCCAGCTCTGCACACACTCGTGGCCAGAACTCCTCGGCTTTATGCCCATTGGTTCCCCGTGGCTTACCTTTTGCTGACACGCCCATGCCATCAGATGGTTGACAGCAGCACATTTCGGGCCTTCGGCCAGGCTCGAAACCAGGCATGAGACTTGGGATTTTCTCGGGCGATGAATTCAACTAAGGCAATCGAGCATCATTTGCCGAGTTGACCAGGGCCAAGTTGCCCTGGATCAGCAAGGCAACCTCGCACACAGGGAACAAAGGAGTCCACACTCTGCTGAAATCGGTCAAATATCGCTTGGCACATCCTCTGAAGATCTTGCCCATGCAAGTCAAATAAATTGGCTGTGTTCTGAGGGAAATTTCGCAGAGCACCTGGGGACTCATATCAGATCATGTGCCCAGTGGCCAGCTGCTGCTGCTTGTTGCTGAGCTCCATGGGGGGCAGCCCGTGCCGCTGGCGCCAGCCCTGGAAGAAGGCATAGAAGACCTCACCGCGTTGCTCCGTTCGTTTTGCAAATCCTGCAAGCACGAGTTCCGTATCCCGAACGGGGCTGTGAAATCGTGTCCCCAGTGTTGGGCAAACTGTAGAGGCCAATCTCGACCGAAAATGAAAATCCAGCGCTGGCTGCGAGCAAGCTTATCATGCTTGTGCGTTCTCTCATGGTTGGAAATGCCATCCAGTCCTTGATCTGCTAAACTTTAAGCAACTTTCCAATCTCCGTGAAAAGGAAGGACCTAGCAGCGAGCGCAAACGTGGCAAACCGCCCACGCTTTGCCCCCGAAAACACTCGCCAAACTTCAAATCTGCGTGTGCACTCCTTTTGATCGGAAGAAATAAATCCAAGCGGCACGGATCAGCTGCTGAGGTGTGAACTCCAATGGGTTGACCTCCTCCTGCCCCCTGCCAAGTCTCCATGTTCCGCCCTCCATCTAGGCAGAACGATCCCCCAACTTCTCAGCTTGAGGCAAGAGCTCCCCAAGAATCCCGCGTCCCACCCGCCTCTGCAACAGCTCCGAGACGGCCTTGCTTCAGCACCCGCCAAGTCTTCTGGCTTCTCAGTGGACAAACAACAGCACAGGACTCACCGCTTTACGAGACACCTCCCAGGGTTGGCACAGGGCCAGTGAGACACGCTGGTCGCTGGGCGTCCAGCATCTAAAGCCTTCGGCATCACCGGCGGCGCCGGCTCCGGGGCCGGCTCTGGCGCAGGCGGTGACGGCGGTGCCGGCGGTGGTGCTGGCGCCGCCTTGGCCTTGGCCTCTTTGGCCGGGGCCTGTGCAAGAGAGCTCCACTCACAATGCCTCGAATCCAACAAGACATGCCCTTCCAGCGCCTTTGGTGCCTTCCCTGGTCCGAAGCCAGACCTGGGATCGGAGCCAAGGCTTCAAGGCGGACTTGACTCCGCGAGTCTCCTCTCTCAAGCCTTTCAATCCAACATCCCCGCTCCAGGCCCACAAAAGGCCAGCAGTGCCAAGGGGCCCTCGTTTCTTTTTCCACTCCTTCAGCTTCTTCAGCATCTCTGCATCGCCAGAAACCTCCACGCCTTGGGCCGCGCGGCCCACGCGGCTCGTGCCTCGCACCTCGCTTCAATGCGAGTATCTCTGACCTCGTGCGCATCCTGAGCCAGGGACTTGCATGGCCCCAGAGAAGCCAAGAGACCTGCTATGCCACTGAAGCGAACATAGCGAACATCAAATCCACAAGCGCAACTCAAAGGCTTCGTCCAGAGCTTCTTCGGCGCATAGGGCCCCAGCGCCCGGAGAAAAGCAAGGCAGGCGAGAGCCAGCAGCCGCGCCCGCGCGGGCCGGCTGGCCATGACGGCCATGATGTCCAAATCCGGGGAGGCTGCCAAATCTGGGAGGAAACCTCTGAATTGTCGGCTGCAATTGGCCAATGCCTGCATCTGTTCCAACATAAATACCTCCAACATTGCATGGAAGAGCATTCAAGACGGACTGTGCTTGGTTCTGTGGCGCCCTGTGGTCAAAGCTTCAAAACTTTCTGACTCTCGAGCCTGGCCTTCGGAAAAACATACGCACAAAAAACGCAGACACGTATGCTCCCGGGGCCCTCTGCCGGCACTCGACTGCCTGCTCACCAGTCCTGAGGTGCTTCTAGCTTCTACCAATGGCAGCGGTGATCTTGGAGCATGGATTCTCTCGCTCGCAATGAGACCCTTTCGGCATGTCCTGATGGCCTCGAAGGGGCGGTCCAGAATCAGCAACACTTGTGCCATCTGCCTGCAGTACAAGATAACTTTGCACAAACATTAGACATCTGCAACCAAAAGATCACGCAACATCACACATGCCTGCTTTTTCGTGGCTGAGGATTTACATCCGCTGACTATGTTTGAGGGTGCTACCCATTAAGCCGTAAGGAGAAAAAGCATAGTGTGTGTGTGTGTGTGCTCTTGCAGCACTTCACATTCCGATGCACTGGGGGTAGCCATCTGCTCTCACGTATTGGCAATCTGGGGGTGGCGCTCCAGGACGGGCGCCTTCTGGCAATTGTCCTCTGTAAAGAGCAGCGCCTCCTCCCAGTGCTGCAGGGC